TCTCTCTCTCTCTCTCTCTCTCTCTCTCTCTCTCCCACACACACACACACACATACACACACACACCTAACCAACTGTGCTTGATTCCAGGAGTTTAACCTTTTGTTTCATTGTTTAAGGTGTCATCAAACGCATATCCCATATTCTGTTAAAACTTAAAATGAGTAGCTGGCAAGTCTCTCTCCCTCGGCTATTCAATCTCCCGTCCCTCAAGAGCCAAGACGAGCAAGAAACACCCCTCTCTTTCTTCGCAGCTTGCGCGAACGAGGGGGAGAGAGAGAGGGAGAGAGAGAGAGAGCCTGAAGCAATATTTCACCTGCCGCAGCGGGTTCACTTGTAATTTCTCATAATTACCCCTCTTCCCGTCCTGCATGATTTCCCCATATTCTAAAGTAGCGCTTCTGTTCTTCTTTCCGCTGAGGTAAGTCGCCCGTGACATTACCGTATCCATTGGATACCATCCAAGATTCGAACTTGTGATCAGTTTACAAACAGTTACATGTGTGCAGTGTGTGCACCGGTCAGCCGCATGAGCTGGGTTCGGGTGCCAGATTTCTAACGATCAGCAGTCTGACACTTTTCCCCTGCTGACATTTGAAGAGGCAAGGAAAACTTCCAACGGAGTAAGGGCTAGCTGCTTCCGTAAAACCATGCGGTCGCAGGCCTGTCCCCACCAGTCACATGAACCAGCTGCTGGCCTATTCAAAGTATTAACATTCAACGTACACGAAGGGAAATCACGGGACCTGAAGGGCCACAGCAAATTGAGGGCATCGACGGCCCCTCCAGGGCCCATGGTTTTCCTTCCCCGCCTAACCCCTTTAAATCTGAGCCCCTTGAGAACACCTTCTAATATTTTTCTCATAGTTTCATTTCATAACTTGAAATGAATTCGAGGGGCTGATTCGGGGGCTGATTGCATACAGTCAGCCCCTGCAGGCCAACAGTGAACGAGGCCCCCTCCTTTGAGACTTGCATCTGTATACAAATGGACCATGATCTTCATGTACCGGCCAGGCAGGGACCCGTTAGATTCGTTCGGGCGCAAAACAAATTAGGCTCACCAAAATAGTGTCCGCCATACGGGTGGTTTGAATCAGCCCACAAGCGAGTTCTCTGTAATTGCCCTTGCATGCCGAAATTGCCTCCCATTTAAGCATTTTCTGCCATGAGCAGACGCCAGGTTCTCTTCTTCACAGTACTCTCTCTCTCTCTCTCACACACACACACACACACACACACACACACACACACACAAACAAATGCGCGCTTGGACTCTCCCTCGCTTTCAAACACACACATGCACTCTCTCATTCTCTCACTCTATCACTCACACAAAATCCAAGAGAGAGCATACACATATACAAAAAAACAACGAGAGAGCAAGTGCACACACACGAAGTGTAGAGGTGCAACTTATGTTATTTGGCACTGGACTCCCTTCTGACCCTCTCACTGCCTCGATTACTTTATTTAGGGGAACACAGGCAACCTGGCCAGCTGTGGGCTCTGCTGAATTTCAACCCCGCAAACACTCAACGAAAAACTTACGTCATCTCTTGCTGAGGTCCACTGGCGTTCGTTTGGGATCCGTTCCACGAATTCACTGCATTCCCATCTTCTCCAATTACCCTTGACGATGCAAACTGTCCTTTTTTCCTCTGCATCCTGTTTCAAGAGAAAAGCAAATTGACCGACAGAGGTGGATGGAGTAGAAAACAGTCAACAGCTGTGGTCGGCGGAGAAAAGACAAACAACATGCAAGCATAGTCCCGATAATTACACAGCATCAGCTTGTTCCCAGTAATATGTTGTTCAAATTATAACAATCATCAACTCAGCTCAGCCATGAGAGACTCATATTGTTGTGCTGTCATCCATACTTCGGGAAGCCTCCAAGAACCTCAGCAGCCAGTGGCAAAACTCAACAAGCCAACCCATTACAGGGCCTTAAACTGCCACTACACGGCCCCGGTAGAAAATTGTGACATGCCAACTCCAAAGTTTTCGGGCCTTGGGGCTAACTGGGGGTTCAGACAAGCTTGGCGTGCACGGCAGCGCCTCCAGGCCCAGGTGAAGTTTAAACCACCAGTACGCCTGAGCCTCTTTTTCAAGATGCAGATCTTTGTGGCACACCTGGCACACCAATTCCAGCCTAACCAGCCTGGCGCGCAGTATGCCTGGTGGCACCAGCCTTTCCCATCCGGCAGTACGGCAGTATTCCCGACCGACAATTTTGCTTGGCGAGCAATATGTTTACTGCCTTGTCGGAAGTTCTCAGTACAGAATAGACGGAAACGTAATGGCCGTTTGACCATTCAGCTCCTGGGAGATAGACGATTACGAGAGAGGTAACAGCGCTTTGATGCTAGTACCTGGTTTTGTCGGCCTTTTCCATCCAGTGGGCCCGACCCACGATTTTGTAGCGTGTTCATCACCTTGTCGTAGCGCAAGAGATGGGAAACGTAACGGTGGTTCTTCAAACATTCAGCTCGTGGAACATAGGCGATTACCAGAGAGGTCGGAGGGCTTTGATGCCAGCACGTCGTGTTGCCAGCCCTTTTCCATCTCGTGGGCCCGACCCCATGATCTTGCAGAGTGTTAACCACCTCGTTGGAACACCAACAGATCATGTGAAACATAGCCGGGGTTTAGACACTCAGCTGCTAGAAGTGCCAGCAGTGCGGTTTCGTTTCTTTTCTGGCTGGTATCGCCAGCCATTTCGGTCCGGCGGCACTGTTCATCCAAAGAATGCGCTGGTGATCAACTTTGTCGCGAAAGTTTCCCTGGAAGCGGTAGTGGTGGTTTAAAAGATTTAGCAATCGGAATTGAAAAGATCGTTGGTATCCATACAGCGCACATAGAATCCACACATACAATTCCACAGCAGTGAGCATTTTCTGCTTCCAAATTTACATCTTACTGTTTTGTGCAACACCGGGCCACGCTCCACTGCTCTCGCATGCACAAAACGGAAAAAATATGGAAGCGTATCTTTCCATATTCTAGTGCAAGATTGTCTCATTTTGCACATTTGGAGAGCAGTGGAGCGAGGCCCGTTTACAGAACCACAACCTGCCTGCCGGTCAAATCTTCACCAGAGTTCATCAGCTTCAAAGTTCATAAGCTAGTGGGCTCCGGCCTGCGAGGGACAAAACGAAACAACAAAAACACGGACTTGAAGCTTGGGGAGGTAGGGGGGTTGGGGTATACTAAAAGGGGGAGGGGGGGCGGGGGCGGGGGGTCATTCCTGTTCAACCACAAAGCAGGTTCCCAACTTACACCACCAGTCCCTCAGAAGCGAAGTTTACCAAGGCGCGCGCATTTCCCTGAGCCTGGAGGTTTTTGAAAAAATATCATGAAATAAATCTGGATGGAAAAAAAAAAACTTCAAAAAAGATCGTGGTGGGAACCTGGTTCGAAAAGATGTAGCCAAGAACTCTGCCTCTTTTGAAAGAGGTGCACACCTATGTCCACATTCTCCGCACACAGCTTGCGAGCCAGGTGAGAGAAGTCCAAACAGGCGGGGGAGAAAGGGTGAGAAGGGCCACAGGAATCAGTCCACAACAGTTCGCAGGCAAACCAACCTCTGTGCAACTTCCTTGCGTACAGTGTATCGAATCTTCTTGTCATAGTTCCGCTCCTTCCGTTTCTCTCTAAATCTTGTGAGAGAAGCCAGGCGCTGAGGCAGGTTCATCCTTGCAGGGTACTCTGACATGCCATGCATGCGCTGCACCACATGCCCAATCCACGAGGAGATGCGGAACACAAGTCAGGCCCTCACATACTGCAAGAAGAACTGCCCGAGGCTTGCAGCTCACTTACCCAAAAGATGAAAGCAAGCAGCAGATGTGGGGGTGGGAGGGGGAGGGGGAGGACCTGAAGGCGGGCAAAGGTTGTTGTGGACCAAAGGCAGGACATTAAAGGATGATGTTGGACACATACGCACTTCAACACTTTGTCGGTCTAAACGCATAATCGAGAAACGGTCCACATTGAAAAAAACAATAAATCCTCGCAGGCAAGCCAATATGAAGGGATTTTCAATCCAAGGGTGAAGTCAGGCATGGACATATGCTAGTACTTTTCCTCACAAAATCTGACCAGTGGTTCATGCCACATCCATATAACATGCATAAAAGTGTTCATAAAAAGTGTGCCACTAAACACACATTTTCTCGCAACAAGACAACTCGAAAAAATGGACCCCACACATATCAGAACCAGAGAAGTCTAAACAATTTTTTGGACCGCTTCTCCATTTGTGTGCCATCCTTGCGCAGGGTTTTGTGCATCAAAACAATTTGGGCACAAATGCAACGCCTACGGTAGCCACTGCCAGGGCCCAGGCTCCACAACAGTCAGCGGTCCACGGGCCCAAAGCAAGGTTTTGTGTTTTTCTCTTTCGTTTTCTTTGGCCTGTTTTTTTTTTTTTTTTTTTTATGGGAACCCTACAAACCGATAGCAAAATCCACATGAGCACATGTTCGGAGGCCTGTTATTGTGCATGTCCACACCGTCCGCCGCCCACCGGCCACCGCCCTCACCACATGTTTGGAGGACTGTTATTGTGCGACGCTGTCTGCCGTCCAGCACCGTTTGCGCGCCACAGGCCATTGGACACGCCGTCTGCTGCCCACCGCCATTTGCACGGCTGGGCACACTCCCTTGGGCTGACGCATGGTACTATTACAGACACTGCCTGCGCACCACCCAAGGGTTGTTCATGGTCTTGTATGTTGGTTCTGGGTTTCACATGGGTTGCTTGGGGTGTTGATCTTGGGTGTTCTGTTGATCTCCCCAGTCTGGCATATCACACGTTCGTGCCATTTCTCGATACATTGATTCACAGAGCACACACAGCCTTCGGGCACATACATAGCTTGCGAATTATACATGGCCTACTGGCTACACAAGTTTCCACACATAGTGCTGTCTGTACATCTTCATACATGGATACACGAAGCATACACAGCCTTCGGGTGTACACATACATTGCGAACGACACAACTATCAGACTGGGGGGATCTAGTCATTGGGTGGGGTCTAGCATCTGCGGTAGGGACAGGTATGGGCCACCAGGGTTCCTACTGCTATTCGGGTAGAGCTGTCTAGTGGCTATGTATAAGGCTTAGACCCTGGGGGTAAGGGTAGGGGTATAACTCGCTCAGGCCAGTCCGAGTTCCACATGGCCTTGGGTAAGCTAGGGGAAGGACGGTAAGACTGCTTCAATGGGTGCTACCCTGTCTGAAACCTAGGGCCCATAGTCTCTTGGGGCCTGTAGTAGATTGTCTGGGCCTGGCGTCCTAAGTTCCCGTTCGACAAGGCTCGTCCGATACCGCTTCCACCAGGGCTGGGCAACCTATCAGTCCTGGTGCCTATCACTGCTGTTCGGTCCAAGTTACCTGCCCATTGGTAGGGTAATGGTACTGAGTGCTGGTCACACTGAGGTAGGATAGTGGGATAGGGGGGTGCGCTAGGAGTATTGACGTGAGGATGGGATGGGAGGCGGTCTCATATTCCAGGACAACCACGGACTACTGCTCCAGGTGATCACTGTGTACTCAGTGACTGGCCTCTACAACACCATGGACTTAAAAAAAAAA